TATAACGGAAATGAATGATTATGCCGCAGAAATGCATTACCATTGAGGAAGAAAGGGATTATAACGGGCCAGGAATTAATTATTATTAAATAATTAATGGCTGGCGGCTCTTATCCACCTCTATGCTAGAGCGACTAGCAAATCCCTGTTGCAGTCGCCTGCTCAGGCGCATTTAACACCCACAAAGCCCACCTATTTTTTAAACTGCAACTTTGCTGAGCGGAACTTTCCGGGAGAACCTTGTCTGGCGTGAATTGCAGTTTGATCAAGGCCAGCACACCTAGACCCTCGGTCACGATGACTTGTGACTTCGTGCTAGCATGACCAACGGAGGTTCCCAAATGGTACTGTCTGATGAACTTCACTAACCAGGCTAGGGGTTATCCCCTGGGTAGAGAGCCAAGCCCTGTTATAGATGCCCCAGGCTGATAACATCAACAAGTGGCCCTCCTGGCGAATCGACCGTGGCGAGATTCGAATTCGGGGCTCATGGTCTGAGAGTGAAAGTTATAACCATTGTGCCTAATAATAATAATAATAATAATAATAATAATAGCATCACTGATAGAATATGCATGATCGAAATGCATTGTTAATGATTCTGCTGTAGAAATGCATTACAATTGGGGAAGAAAGGGATTGTCTGTGGTCAGGGATTAATGTAAAAATTACTGATATAATATGTACACTATAAATGCATTGTGAATGATCTCATTGTAGAAATGCATTAAGATTAAAGTAGAAATGTATTGTCAGTGGTCAGGAATTAATACAAACATTACTGATATAATATATATAATGTAAGTGCATTGTGAATAATTTTAATAAGGCTCTTACTACAGAACCGAGGAAGAAAGGGATTGTCAGTGGTCAGGAATAAATGAAAGAATTACTGATAGAATAGGGCTATTATATATAAAATGTAAATGCATTGCTAATGATTTTACTATAGGAACGCATTGAAAATAAGGAGTAAAGTATTGTCAGTGGTCAGGAATGAATGCAAGCATTACTGATAGAATAGGGCTATTATATGTATAATGTAAATACATTGCTAATAGTCTGTCTATATTTCTGAGATGAGGTATTATGTACATTATTTACATTATTCGGACTATTGTCCTCATCTTTGTCGCCATATTTATCCCAACGTTTCGGCCGTTGTACGCTCCGGCCTTCTTCAGTTGGTTGGAATTTCGAACTGAACCCTTTATTTCGCTCACTGGGTTATACTGTTCTAGTTCCACGTGCCATGTTTGATGGATGTCAGTGGTCAGGAATGAATACAAACATTAGAGATAGAATAGAGCTTTTATATGAATAATGTAAATGCATTGATAATGATTTTATTATAGGAATGGATTGAAAAACAGCGAGAAAGGTATTGTCAGCGGTCAGGAATGAATGCAAGCATTACTGCTATATGTCTGATACCTTGTGAATGATTTTACAGTAGAAACGCATAAAAACCGAGGAAAAGAGTATTGTCAGTGGTCAGGAATTCATACAACTTCTGCAAAAATAAGAAACAGAAATGAAGAGGTTAGGATAGGTAGGCGATTTCAGAAGGCCTGCCCTCATTTGACCTTGCATGTGCTTGATCCACGTACCCTATGCTCCGGCGCCGTCGATAAGGGCATTTCCGTTTTTGCAGGCGTGATCAACTGACAAGCGATCATGTTAGCAATCACCAAAACTCGTTCAGCCGATCGAATACAAGATCGATTTCCCCCCACCCCGCCCCTACGAGTGAAAATCTTTTCCTCCCGGTGATCATTGGGTGTGGGTAGATGAGTTGTGTCGGCCAATGGTGTATCGGTTTTTAGAGTGGGTCAGTGGCAATGCGCCAAAAAATGAAAAGAGGAAAAAAAAATCCTAAGTACGCTCATAGCTAACTTGAAATCCAGACTTCTTGTTAAGATGATCACTATTACGTTTGGGGAGAGAACTGTGACGTTTTCATTTGCTTCTTAGAATAGATAGATAGATAGATAGATAGATAGATAGATAGATAGATATGATAGATATGGATATTACTATATATATATATATATATATATATATATATATATATATATATATATATGCAGATAGATAGAGAGATATAGAGAGAGATAGATGTGGATAGACAGATATGTGTATATATACATCATTAATTTATGTATATATATATAATTAATTATATATATATATATATATATATATATATATATATATATATATATATATATATATATATATATATTTATATACAAATGAATAGACAGTGAAAAAGAAGAAAGAAAGAAAGAAAAGAAAGAAAGAAAGAAAGAAAGAAAGAAAAGAGACTGGGATATCTATATATGAAGAGGCTGTGATAGATAGATAGATAGATAGATAGATAGATAGATAGATAGATAGATAGATATGCACAGAGACTGTGATAAACAGATTTTTCTGTCAGATCCAAGATATACTTGTGTGAATATGTACATAATTAAATACGTATCTATTGTAGCAATGCTGTACCTGTTTAGATAGATAGATAGATAGATAGATAGATAGATAGATAGATAGATAGATAGATAGATATGGAAAGGCGGAGAAAGAAAGAAAGAAAGAAAGAAAGAAAGAAAGAAAGAAAAAAGAAAGAAAACCCGAATATTCTGTCAAAATAGAAATGACCAAAAGAAAGAGAGAAATAATAAACAAAGAAAGAAAGAACGAAAGAAAGAACGAAAGAAAGAAAGAAAGAAAGAAAGAAAGAAAGAAAGCCGGCAAGTAAGTAAGGCCGAAGAAGTCTGGAATCAATAAGCTGAATAGATCGATATTCATATCTGATTAACATTTCGTTTCATTTTAAGCAATTCGTCTTCCTTGTTGGGAACTGTTTATTTTCAGCCGCCGTCGGTAATTATCCACACGGATAATCAACATCTATCCACATGGACCCCCCCCCACATACACACACACACACTACTGGGGGCAGAGGCGGCGCGCCCTTTCTCGGACACTGACCGCATAACATTTCTTTTTCTTTCATCTGCAATGTTCTTGATATATGCGCATTGAAGACACTTCACAACTTCCTGTCTTTTGTCTCTCCCCCCTCTTCTACAACCCAGTCACACCACAGTCGTCAAATAGACGGTTAAAAGTTTTACCCCGCTTGTCCTTGCCTTCATCGTGTCCTTTTACTTTTTTTTTTTTTGGCAAACTTAGACCTTCCTACCAGAAAAAAAAAAACGAAATGTCATAAGAACGTTTTTTCCGTTGACACCGCGATTATTTTAACTACCTTCACTCCTCGGTACTGTTTATTGTTTTACAAAGACACGATTAGAATTGTAACAAAGCCTAAAAGTATGGTGAAAGTTGATTTATTACTTGTTTGTTTTGTTCTTGAGAATTTACGACATAAATATTAATCGCTGGTTATTTACTGGATTGTTTATTTACAAAAATAATTTTAGATTTACAACATTCTAATAACTAATACCTGAAGCAATATTTATCATTTACCAATTTATAAAGAAATAAATATGAAAACATTTTTTTATTCATAAATTTCAAAGTATTTACTAAATTATTAAAATAACTGAACCTGAAAAGAAATCTTTATTATTTACCATTTTATAAAGATCGAAACAATTGGCGATTAACTGATGCTTTGCAAACCATTCCAAAAAAAATCGTTATTTCAAAAGGACGTTTTTTCACATCACACCGCTTTTATTCTAACTACCTTCATTCTTTGGTAATGTTTATTGTTTTAAAAAGCGATTATTAGAATTGGAATAAAATCTAAAAATATGATAAAAGTGAATTTTCTTTGTTCTTAATAACTGACAACGAAAACACTATTTATTATAATGTTGCAATGGAGTGTTAAACGGATAGTCTTTTATCCTGTGACACCGATTTTATTTTAAGCACCTTCACTTTTTATCAATGTTAATAAACATTATAATAAACATTATATTAATAAACACTATTTATTTATTAGATTATTTACAAGAATAATTTCATATTTATAATATTCTAAAAAAAGAATACAATTGATTTAGAAAATATTGCAATGTAATATCAATCATTTACCAATTTATATACAAATAAATATGAAAAGAATATTGTGGATATGACAACAAAAATGAGGACAGCAGTCCAAACAATGTAAATAGTATGTTTTATTACAATGCTTCATCTCAAAAATATAGACAGATCCTGAAGAAGGCCGGAGAATAAAATGGATGAAACATTGTGAATATGATAACAAAGATGAGGACAACAGTCCAAACAATGTAAAAAATATAAAAAAAAAACTCTTTATTTGTATTTTATGTGGCATCCTGTAAAATGTACAACTTTTTATCATAGATTTGCATTTTCAATGATGTTATTATAGAAATGCATTTTAAATAAATAAAAGTAAGATAAACCGATATTGTAAAATTACTTAAATATGGAAATTCGTTATAAATTGTCTAACCGTAAAAATTTAGGTTAAAATGACCCAAATAATTATTTTTTTAATATATTAAAGCTGTTCATTTTAAATTATGCTACGGGTAAGTTGTAAGTGTCCAAATGAATTGCATTATAAATAATTTATTTTGGAAAATCTGTAAAGAATAACATGAAACATTGTAGGTAATATATTCGCCTCCCTAAATTAAGCTACGCTAAAATATGTCGAAAAAAAAAAACATTAAGAAAAAATATTTATTCGGCAGTTCTGTATTTACTCATATTTCGACAGTTTTCCATGCAAAGTAACATTTACCATTTGCCACTTACACAGGAGTCTAAAGCGAATGTAAACATTACTTAATTAGACACCATGAGCAGGAAAAAAAAGCGATAAGAAAACACACACCAATGGTGTCGCCATCTGTCAACGAGCAATACGTTCCCAAAGATGAGCATCCCTAAATAAACGGTCAATATCTACTGAAATGGTCACTTAGAGCAGGAGGTATGCTAACAGATCGTTATCCAAGTAAACTCTTTATCAATTTATTTGTTCCAGTGGGTCGAAATCGAGCTGTTTATACCAGAATAGTTCACACTATTCATATATACAGTGTAACCGGATATAAGAGAGTTGTCGGGACCAGAGAAGAAGTCTCTTATATCCGGGTTTGGTCTATTTTGTTTAGGTAAGTATGGGCTCTAATTTGGGACCAGAGAAAATCTCTCTTATATCCTGGTTTCTCTTATATCCGGGTCTCTTATATCCGGGTTACACTGTACATACATACCGGGTGTAACAGCAAATTTGTCCAAATCGTGTAACGCCATAATTGTCCATCCACAAAAATATTTAATATCTAAAAAAAAAAATTAAAAATAAAAAAAAACACTAATTGAGTTTCTTTTTTTCCAGGTTTTCAGATAAGACATTTAGCCATCTTGACACAATTTTTCGTAAGAATCACTGAAAAACCCTTTGAGTTATTCAGCTAGAAAGAGAACAGGCTTAAATCGTTTGAGTTTTTTTGTTTTTACGTCAGCCCCACTATCTTCCTAAATGAGCAATGGTGAGAGGAAAAAGATCATTAAGGTCTTCAGCAATGGTACCAGCATTCATACTCTGGCTTTCATCTTCCAAGTCCATTCAAGAACTATCAATAGAACGGTGAATAAGTTTTTAAAAAGAGGGAACACTAGGAAGGGAAATTGGATCAGGACGTCACAACAGGAAGAGAGATCATCATTTCAACTTAGAGTTAAGAGATAAATCAGAAAAGATCCAACCCAGTCGATGAGACGTTTGGCACGTGAGAGAGGAGTTTCAGCTATGACAGTCTAAAGAGCAGTGAAAAATTTACATGAAATCCTTGAGACAACTTGTTATTCTAGGACAGAAAGTTAGAAGATTAGAGAGGGCGAAGATCATCTTGAATAAGTTGGAAAATGAAATAATGAAATAATATATATATATATATATATATATATATATATATATATATATATATATATATGAATTTTATTTCAATCTTTTCATGGGTTTCGAACTTTAGCTATCATTAATTAATGATGAACATGTCATTTTCGTTTATGATCGATTTAATCACAATTCTTCTGATAAGGTTAGAGAATAAGTAAGTGTTGTAATAGTGTTGTAAAAACCTCGGGGAATTCCAGTAAAATATCTTTAATCATTTCTATGATTCAATGGTTCAAACTATAATGTAACAATTGGACAGTTTTATTGCTATCAACGATTTGGATAATTAATTTACACCATCAATATATATATATATATATATATATATATATATATATTAATTTAAATTTTAATCATTTCATTTTAGAGATCAATTAGAAAATATCCAACTCAATCCATAAGACGTTTGGCACGTGGGAGAGCATTTTCAGCTATTACAGTCCAACGAGCAGTGAAAAAAGACTTTAAAATGAAATCGTGCGTGAGACGTATGCAAAACTTATTACTCCAGTACAGAAAGTCAGAAGATTAGAGAGGGTCAAGATCATCTTGAATAAGTTGAAAAAAATTATATATATATATATATATATATATATATATATATATATATATATATATATATATGTATTTGGACTTTATTTCAGTCCTTCATGAGCTTCAGATCCTTACCTATGATTAATTAATGATGAACATGTCATTTTCGTTTCTGATCGATTTCATCACGATTCTTCTGTTAGGCTTAAAGAGCAATTATTCATTCTCATTGCTCAAATTAGAGTTTAGTAGTGTTATAAAAGACTTCGGGTGATATCTTTAATCATTTCTAAGATACAACGTTTCAAAGCTTAATTATACCAATTGGATAATTTTGCTTTTACACCCGGTACATACATACAGACACCGTGGTCGCTTTCTGATTGTTCGCCATGAGCATCTCACGACATCCTATAAAGTTTCACCAGTGCCACTCACGTACATGACTTTTAAACCTGACCAATGACATTGTTTTCCATAGACTTGGCAACCATGAGTAGTCATATCATTAGGTTCGTTTACCGCTGGGGATCATAATCATAGTTATACTTTTTGTCCTGGTGTCCTCCTTCTAAAGAGTCTATGTTGAACTCTTCCGCCTACTATAAGATTAGTAGGAGAGAAGGCCTTTAGGGAAAAGTCGAATAGATTGAACGCTGGGTCAACTGACACACACTCACTAGTCGTGTAATACTCTTCTGTTGTACTTACTGTTTAATATATGATATATCTAAAGCACGTGTTTTGTTATTTCTATAACCATTTATGTGGTCACAACACTATCTATCTATCTATCTGTCTGTCTATCTATCTATCTATCTATCTATCTATCAAAATCTCTTTCGTTCTTTCTTTCTTCGCATCTATCTATATATCCCTTCCATTATTTCTTTCTTTCTCTTTCTCTCACAATCTCTTCCGTTCTTTATTTCTCTCTCTCTCAGGAACTACCTATCTATCTATCTATCTATCTATCTATCTATCTATCTGTTGTGGTGTCCTCCTTCAAAGAGACTATGTTGAACTCTTCCGCCTACTATAAGATTAGTAGGAGAGAAGGCCTTTAGGGAAAAGTCGAATAGATTGAACGCTGGGTCAACTGACACACACTCACTAGTCGTGTAATACTCTTCTGTTGTACTTACTGTTTAATATACGATATATCTAAAGCACGTGTTTTGTTATTTTTATAACCATTTATGTGGTCCCAACACTATCTATCTATCTATATCTATCTATCTATCTATCTATCTATCTATCTATCTGTTTGTCTGTTTATCTATCTATCTATCTATCTATCTATCTATCTATCTATCAAAATCTCTTTCGTTCTTTCTTTCTTCGCATTTATCTATATATCTCTTCCATTATTTCTTTCTTTATTTCTTTCTCTTTCTCTCACAATCTCTTCCGTTCTTTCTTTCTTTCTTTCTCAGGATCTATCTATCTATCTATCTATCTATCTATCTGTTGTGGTGTCCTCCTTCTAAAGAGTCTATGTTAGACTCTTCCGCCTACTATAAGATTAGTAGGAGAGAAGGCCTCGGGGGAACAGTCGAATAGATTGAAAGCTGGGTCATTCGACACACACTCACTAGTCGTGTAATACTCTTCTGTTGTACTTACTATTTAATATATGATATATCGGCAACACTTGTTTTGTTATTTCTATTTACTTGGTTACAAGACCCTTTAACGCTACGGTCAGTCATACTCACCACTGACTAAAAATCACCCACTGAACAGTCATGCAATGGCTTTGCATGAAATTTCAAACGTAAAGAAAGTCGGTGCACAAATTCCATCCCACTCTCTGACCAACACAAACAACCCCCACCCCCGGAAAGACATGACCACCATTGGTTGTTAGTGTGTCTCAGGTGTTATGTCAAAGTTTTTCTTCTCCTAGAGAGATCTCCCAACAGGGACTAAGTGGTCTCCCTTTCTCTGTCTCTCTCTTTCTCTCTCTCTATCTATTTCTCTCTCTCTCTTTCTTTATCTCTCTCTTTCTCTCTCTTTCTCTGTTTCTTTGTCTCTCTCTTTCTCTCTCTCTCTTCTCTCTCTCTCTCTCACTCTCTCTCTCTTTTCTCTCTCCCAATGGTTCTTACTGATGTGACTGGGGACAACAACAGGGACTAAGTGGTCTCTCTTTCTCTGTCTCTTTGTCTCTCTCTCTTTCTTTTCAGATTTCTCTCTTTCTCTTTTTCTCTTTCTCTCTCTCTCTCTCTTTCTCTCTCTCTCTCCCAATGGTTCTTATTGAGGTGGCTGGGTGTCGATGACTATTTGGTCCGAAAGTTCAATTTCTAAGATAGAACGGTCCAAAGTTCAAACTAACAACTGGACAATTTTGCTATTACACGATTTGGACAATTTTTTTACCCGCTATATATATATATATATATATATATATATATATATATATATATATATATATATATATATAAGCCAGCTTACCCTGAAGATCCGTTTAGGTGAAACCTAGGTAGGTTTTGATGGCTCTTTAGGATTTATTTTATTTATTCCCGCTCTGCTTAGCGTATTGAGCACTCTACGTTTAGATTCCAAAAAGCATAATATATCTATGTAGAACAAGTGTGACCCAATTTAGAGGGGTTTCAGACACACGGACGAACAGACAAATTTTGCCCTTAATTTATTTAAATGGCCGACCTGCTCGAAAGCGTTGGGACAAATAACAAAAATATGAAATTTAGACAGTTTATTTCTAATTTCAACTCAGAAGTGTAAAAACCTATTCGAAAATTGCAACCGACTAATTTTATCGAGAGATGTCCTGTGCGCTTGTGTCTGTAGTGGGGGTATCTGCGTGTGCGCACACGTTAAAATCCTGGGTATGATGATAAACTACATCCGGCAGCAAGCTCTCTGATTGGATGGTCTCTTAACTGCTGTTTTCCCCAGGTCCATCCTGGCCTGGGGTAGTAGCACCCGTTAGGGACGCGATTATGGGAAAATAGTTAAACCCCAGATTAGTCTCAGAACACTATGAAAGTATATAGATACATTATTGTTAGTAGAAGTGACAACACTGCATTTTCATAGCAAAGGAATTACCAGCAATACATCTTTGTAGAAATAAAATAAAAAATATTACTAGCATGTACATTTTTGTAAGGAAACAAAATATTATCATTAATACGCTTACAAAAAAAACGAAAAATATATTATCACTAATACATTTTTATGAAAAGAAAATAAACAAGAAAGTACCAGTAATACATTTTTGTGAAATAAAAATCTTGTATCCTAGAAAAGTTTACTGAATAAGAAATAACCAAAATGGAGGTTGGAAATGAAATGATAATGGTTATAACATCAATAAAATATAATACTTGCCAGCGGCCTGAAGTAGGTAAACCACTGCTAGTGGTAAACTGCTTAGCATATTACGACATTTATAATAGTGTCCAATGTATTTATAAGGATTGGGATATTCCCATTATTGTTCATAGGTATGGTATATAACAATCAGCTAAACTGCCAGAAAAGACAGCTGAACTACGATATTTATCAATCCTCACGTATAACAATTCCTGATGGACAATTTCTCCACAGACAATCTGAAAAAAAAGGAGACAAAAAAAAGCCTGTAGGTTTAATACGCGGGATGTTGAGAATTCCATAGACAGCACATGTCTGCCTTCGGCAAATCTCAAAGAAAATGGTAACAAAAAAGAACACTTATATTCAGAATCTGAAACTGATGGCTGAATTTTCTTCGATACATAATGAGAAAGGAGGGCTTGGAGAACTTGATTTGTCCAAGTATTTATGAGGATTGGGATACCCATTAGTGTTCAGCAGATACCACATGTAAGAAGCTTAAAATGGATGATAACTGGGAGTTAAAACACTTGATAAAGGGAGGCATCAAAGGGAAATAAGCTGTTGATATGCCGAATCTGTTAAAAAACGTTAAAATACTTTGACCACAACGCCATTTCTGCCTATAGACTCAAGTATAATATTGACCAATATTTGCCTATATCTTCCTATAAATCAGATCAACATTTTTACCTTTAGACTCAAATATAAATCCAACAAATATCTGACTGAAGTATAAATCAGATTCCAGACCTATAGACTCAAGTATAAATCAAATTGGATCCACCTATAGACTCAAAATAAAACCAATATCTGCCTATAAACTCAAGTATAAAACAATGCTACTTCCGACCTATAGATTTTTTCACGTTGTGTTAAAATCCAACCAATATCTGTCTACAGACTCAAGTATAAATCATATCAATGTTTACCTATAGAACTCAAACATATGTGCCATCCAATATCTGCATTCTATAGACTCAAGTATAAATCAAGGGTTTACCTATAGACTCATGTATAAAGCAAACAATATTTACCTTTAAGCTGAAATATAAATCCAAATTTTGTTAACTGCAGACAAAAGTATAATTTAATCGTTAAAAAAAGCAAAAATAAATAAAAAAAATATTAATATCAACAAAAATCACCAAATCCTGCTAATGGGGGTCGTACAACCCACCCTAGCTCAACCAAAATCTTTGTCCCCTGAATTATCAATTTATATATATTATATTATTTGTATATATCAAACGTAACATTTAGAACCCCCGGATTAGTTTGATTTCGTCGCCATGAAAATAATAGACTGTTTGAAGTTGTTTAAAGTTGAAATGGAAAAAAAGATTGACTTTGTGAAAGAATAAAAGCACACAAGTAACAAATGGAAAAATAAATTTAACAAATCATATATACAACAATATATATATATATATATATATAAATATATATATATATTGTGTGTGTGTGTGTTTAAACTTTGCCACCTGAAAATATTTCGATTACGGTGAATGTCATTAAAGACAACAGATGTTCAATGCTGATTAATTTTATTGAATACTTTTACAAATTATTAATAACTCTTTCTCAGATAATATTATATTTTGATAGATATTGTCCAAATTAATTTTGGATGAATATGGTCCAAACTGAAAACTTTCATCAGGATAGGTAGAGATAAATAGATAGATGGAACTGGTGAGTGAGATAGGCGAGGTGTGACATGAATGATAGATATTTTAAAAAAATTTTATATACATTTGAGGATACATGCTCTTAAATTATAATTGTTAGATAGATAGATAGTTAGTTTTTGCTGTTTGAACAATTGATAGATTGAATAGACAGAGATTTTTAGTTTGATTTTGCTAGTATTTATATATATTGTCTAATGTTACAATGATCTTTATAGATAGATATTAACAGGGTTGATAGATTTCTTACTCTGGTCTGAAATTAATGGCAAAAATTGAGTCTCCATTTGAATGTATATATATATATATATATATATATATATTTTATTTTTTTATTTACACACAAACATTCCCTGAGTAACGCACAAGTATACTCATACACAACATTGATCTTATATATATAGGCTGATATTTGGAATATTATATTTTAATAACTAGGTTGCTAGTTTTTGTTTTTTGTTGTAAGGAACCTGAAATCTGATGTTTTATTTTATCGAATTTTAATTATATATATATATTATATATATATATATATATATATATATTTTTATTGCAGAAATTCAACTTTTTGAAATAATTGTGGTGCATTTCATTTTGGTAAAAATATCAAATTTTATTGAAATGAACTTTATATATTATATATATATATATATATATATATATATATATATATATTAGAATACTAGAGAGAGAAAGAGGATGGGTAAACCTGTGTTGCCTGCAAAAAAATATGGTACAGCAATGAAATTATAAAAAAAACAAGGAGGACCAAATGCTCCCTGTGACAAATGAAAACATTTTTTTTTTACATTGAAAGGGTGTTTTTGGTGGACCAGTGGAAATCACCAATCTTTTCTTGAAGAGCACCTTTTGACAGACAAAGGCCACATTATCAAACTCTGGGCAGAACACTTCTCCATGATCCTAAATCAGGATTCGTCTGCTAATGCAAGAAGGAATAAAAATCTTCCTCAGGATCTGGAAAAAAAGCCTTTCTGTAACCCTTCAACATATTAGGTCAGGATGTTCGGAACTGGCTTTCGAAATGAAATGACCCCAGCCCATGCAAGGAAGATGGAATTCCATCTGGAAAATATACAAAGAAGCACAAAATCGAAACCACTGAGAATTTTTTAATTTAACCAGAGAAAGTTAACCAAAAATAATGATGTAACTATGCTGGGACATGTCCATTTGAAAAAGTGCCAAAAAGAACAGTCATAAAAGTGAATAAATTCAGAAGAATATCTTTTCTTGTTGTTGGCAAAACCATCTGCTTGAATCATCCATGAAAGATTATTGAGAATTTTTTCAGAAATACATGGACCTGGAGACCTAGGTTTTTATTCAGTAGAGGAAGAATAGAAATCTGAGATTGTAGGCTCAGGAGAAGGCATGAGAAAAAAACATGGATCTATTTTTGTTTTTAACACTGCCTTCAGGTAACATCAACCATATCTTGTTGTCTAGAAGATCGTTTTGTCAAAACGTCCTGCATACTAAGAAAATTAATAAAAAGTTAAATTATTATCTCCTTAGGGCCGAAGAACTGGAAGTTTGGACCTGGCGGGACAGGATCAAAGCAGGAAATATAACATCTCCAAACAAACAAAAGCAAGGTTATGTTCTTATCCTCTTTAAAAGGGTCTTTTTAAAGTGGAAACTATGCTTGAAAAAGCATTCTCTGAAAAATTGAAGGAGTCAATGTTGAATTCAGAACAAGTGGAGGTCTATACAATCAGCAACAGACAAAGGACAATCAAAACATGGTCTGTGTGTGCTGGTGTGATCTTCTCTTTTCAGATATGTCTATTGTCAATACAAAAAACAATTCATACTATCCTTGATAAATTCTAAGAAAAATAAAATTCATATTCACTATCAACATAAAAAAAACTGAGCTAACACCAGTCAGGTATAAGCAATCCATTTGGACAATTTTTTCTGAATTTATTGATGGTAAAATTAAAAACCCAAGGTGTTTGAAATATCTTGGATTAACCTCTTCTGGTTGAAAAATGGACAGATTTCCAATGAATAGCTTTTGCCCACAGTGTGTGTAATCTTAAATAGTTTATGGAATATAAATATATATATATCAGAGTAAAGATATATATATACAGATCAGTTGTCATCTCAGCCCTTATATACCATACTGAAACTTGGATATATATACAAGCATATAAATCAAAACCAAAGAAAGGTCCATGGAGGACTATTAATCCAAGTGTTCAGTTGGATGTCCAGGAA